ATAAAAATCAGTTCTACAGAGAATTATTTTTTTTTTTATATATAACACATGGCATTTCTTTTATTTACTTAGAAAACAGGATTTTAATGTGAGGTGTCTTTTAAAGATTTACTACAATGAGTTTTTATACTCAAAGCAAATATTCTCTAAGATAATAAGGTATTCAGTTTATTTGGATCTTATACTTAAACATATTAAAACTTACAAATCCTAAGTAAACAACCACTTAGAATTCTAACATTTTCACATGGTTTCATTGACTATGAAATGCAAAAAGACTATAAATGTTTAAGTGGCATGATCTGTAAAAATTACACTGATACGACCAAATGATCACAAGACATGAGTAACTATGGGAAGCTATTCTCCAGGACTTGAAAGATTATTTGACCCATCATTTTAGAGGTGGGGGGAGGTACGAGGAAGGGAGATGAGTTAAGTATTAATTAGGAGGCTCTACATGTAGATAAGAAAATTCTAATTAAAGTATCTTAAGACTATTTTAGATGCTTATTTGATATTGAAAAGGTGACCAACTACCAAAAAGTACTTCTCTTCTTCACAAATATCCATATATCAAGAATTTACACAATCTGCCAAAACCGGTTTGGCTCAGTGGATAGACCGTTGGCCTGCGGACTGAAAGGTCCCCGGTTCAGTTCTGGTCAAGGGCACGTATCTTGATTGTGGGCACACCCCCAGTGAAGAGTTGCAAGAGGCAGCTGTTCGATGTTTTTCTCTCTCATGGATGTTTCTAACTCTCTATCCCTCTCAATTCCTCTCTGTGTAAAATCAATAAAATATATTTTTTTAAAAAAAGAATTTACACAATCTGGCGGTGGGAGGAGGGATGGGGGTACCTAGAAACATTTTCTTTTGCCTAAGCAAGTACATTTCTAAAAAGAAACTCTGAAGTCCTGACTAAAGGTGTCAGACTGCAATGAGATGCTTGAGTTCTTTACCTACCGTGTTTCCCTGAAAATAAGACATCCTCCGAAAATAAGACATCCTCCGAAAATAAGACCTAGCGCATGGAAAGATAAGACATCCCCTGAAAATAAGACCTAGCATGACTTTTGGAGAAAAAATTAATATAAGACACTGTCTTATTTTTGGGGAAACAGGGTATTTCATGTAAATTCTGCCTCAATGCAAACTGTATGGGTTTTCCTAATGAAGGGTCTTTACCATCAGCATTTTCATAGCCCATCCCGAAAGTCTCAGTCTTATTGGTAAAGCTGTTTGAATCTCTGTTTTTAGTGCAATTGCTGTAGAGTGATTGTTTAGCTGACTGTCTTCAAATAATTCTATGCCTTCTGTTGCACAGGATTCAGGTTCTTCTGGCTGGTCAATGGACAATGGTGCTGTGGATCCTACATCATACTCAGAAATTTCAGGTAAATTACTTTTATTTGCCTTCTCACTTTCAGCAGCCCATTTGCTTGCAACCCCAAGTTCTTTTGCAGTTAGCCTACTGGTTTCTCTAACATTTTTGATGAAGGAACACTTGAAAAGCTTGAGGGTGAAGTGTCTGTCTCTTGATGTTTTCAAAGACTGAATACACTGAGTGGCCATATTTTTATGATCTCTGAATGCATAATAATCTGGTCACTCAGTGTGTGTGTGTGTGTGTGTGTGTGTGTGTGTGTGTGTTAGAGGCCCTGTACATGAATTCATGCATGGGTGGGGTCCAGCCAGCCTGGCCAGGGGGATGGAACATGGGTGGTTGGCTGGCCTATTTGCTGGTCGAACTCCTGTTCAAGGGGACAATTTGCATATTAGCCTGCCTGAAACAGATCATTGTGTCACTAATAGAAAGATGTAAAAGGCTGGTCAAAGCTCTGAAAGGCCAGAGCGAACCATTCCCTATCTAATAGAGACGATGGTAAGTGAGGCAACTTCCCCATTAAATAATCATGTAAATCCTTACTTATATGATAATCCACTTATTACCTAAGGGCTATGGGTGTATCCCAAACCTGCTTAAGGGTAATGGGTGTATCCCATAGTCTCAATAAAAGGGATAGCAAGGCCAGAGCCTAGTGGTAGTCCTCCCACTAGAGGTGGGGTCCCACCTGACCCCCCATATCACCAAATTAAATATTTTTAAATTTAATTTAAAATATTTTTCAATTTAATTAAATGAAAAGTCTCTTTTCATTTGTGTGTGGCTTTCTCCAGAACCCAAATCCTGAACCGAAACCCTGAACTACACGGGTAATGAAAGGGGCTCCCACATTAGCCTTTTATTATATAGGATATACACCAAGTGGCCAGATTATTATGCGTTCAGAGATAATAATCTGTCTGCTCAGTGTAGATCTCTCTTTACTTTTATGTTGAGACTGATGGAAAGAGTTAAGTTTTACTTCTTTCTGGAGAGTAGCTTCTACTACTGACACTGGAGCCAGATCTGTGTGTGGAGAATCCTTTCTCAATGACCAATCTTTACATGATGTAAAGCTTAGAAACTTTTTCCTCTAAAGCCATCTCTTTTGTCTCTATATTCAGGCTGACAACTTCCAGAATGATAGCCTCTTGTTCATATAACCATTATCCCTTTACATTTCACTTTTATGACTTGCCTTTTCATGTCCTTTGCTCACATTTCTACTGATTTCCCTTTATTGGTAAGAGTTTTTTTTTTTTTTTTCTTTTTTACAAAAAAGTTACCCACTGTCTAAATCATATTAAAAATGTGACATTTCCAAATTTATGACTCATTTTTCAATTTTGATTAAAATGTTTTTTATTTATTTAGAAATTTAAATGTTCTATGGTCAAACTGATTAATCTTTCCTTACATGGCTTTTTACTTTATTGTCACTTTTAGAAAGTTTTTCAATCTATTTGAAAAATATTCACCTTTTATTTTTTTCTATATTAAATATTTTTTAAAAGGAAAAAGTACAATATATTAGAGCTGGAATTTATTTGGGGATAAATTGCAAGATGGGGCCGTTATTGTTTTTCCCCTCAACTGGCTACCCAGTTGTCTTCCTTTTCATAATCCATCCTTTCTTCACTGATATGAATGTTGAAGTAAGGTAGCAACCATACTTAGGTAAAAACTGCTGTTTGAATTTTAACCCTGCTGTTCTGGCTTCAGCACTCCCTTACTTGCTTAAGCAATAGGGTAGTTACCTCAGCTTCCAGATTGAGACCTGGAAGCAGAGCAATTTTCCTGTGCCTGTGGCCCAGGACCACAAGAGACTGATTCCACTGACTCAGTAGCTCCAGGGGAAGAAACTGTAGATAACTTTTAGAGATTACTAACTCTGCTTGATTCTGCTCCTGTAAAACTTGCTTTGGCAAGATAGGGCCACACTCCAACGTCTAGCAGGATGTGGCTGGGAATGATCCTGCTGGCTGTTCCCAGCATTTAGAATTTAAAATTTAGAACAAAGGAAAATTTTTGTGGTTTAGACCTTTAAAAGGACTGCCTACACCTGGAATGGCTGGCGAGGTTGATGAGTGTGGCCTCCACCTGCGTGTGGTGCCCTTGGGCCATCCGAACTTATTGAACTAATAAGTCCTTGCCTGCTTTTTTTTTTTTTTTTTTTTTTTTTTTTTTTAACCAACTAGCAGCCTCCGTGGTCTTATTTTTGACTCCAGGTTCGACCCCACAACAAATGTAAATTATAAGATGCCATTGCTTTCATATTAAAAGCATACACACGCGCGCACACGCGCACACACACACACCTTTTCCTCCTCCTTTTACTAAATAAAATTTTGGATCTGAGCTAGTCCCATCTTTGAGCCAATATTCCTAAGGAACAGAGAAATATTTTTTATTGCCACGTCCTGTAATTAATATTGGTTACATAGTAACTTGGTACTGTACTCAAGGGATATTGGTTACACATTTTAAGGGAAAGACTACATACATTTTGCCCAAGCCCCATCAAGAATGTCAATCCACTTAAGACGAACTTGGTTATCGCTTTAAATAAAGGTTCCCTTCTAGAAGATTGAGAACAGTGCGTCAGGGTTCTCTTCTGAAAGCCCTCGGAATGCGGGGCTCCGGCGGGGGGAAGGGACACAGGAAGAACCCATGGTAGGCTCAGTCAGATCTATGGACAGGGACTCCGCCCGAGGAGCCCTTGGAGCTGATGAAAACAGGTAGTGGGGTCATTTTAATTCTTCAACTGAGGTCTTGATTTTTTTAAAGTTATAAATACCCTGAGTGATGTAAATGCAGCACAAAATACCTACAGAAGACGGTTTGTGGGTATTTTGTGGCATTAGAAAAGCAAAAATGCTTCATTTTCTTAAGTCCCCGAGAGTAGTTTATGTTGGTGGTGAGGAGCCGTAGGGGACAGAAGAGGGGGTTCTCTCCCTGCACCTTCCTTTTGAACGCTTACCTACGCGGTCCACATCCCCTCTGGGCTCCCGGGCCGACCTTCTCTCCATTTTACCCAAAATGCCAAGGGCGGGAGGCAGCGTTGAATGTAACGGTACGAATACCCCGCCCCTCGCACCTGAGCCGCTCCCCTGCGGCAGGTGAGGCTCCTTTTTTGATGAGAAAAAAGACCGAGATCGGAGGCCTTTGCTCAGGCTGAGATCTCAGCGAGTCAGGTCCCGCGAGGCCTTAGTTACCATTTCGCTAGGAAACGCCTTTATTCGACCTTCTCGGGTCCAGGTCGTATCGCCGTCCGTCCCTGTTCCCTCAGGGCATTTCTTTGGTCAAGTGTTCCCTGAACTCCGGCCTCCTCCCCACTCCCTCCTCCCAAGGGTGGCAGTTTGAAGGTGGGCTCCGGATTACCGAATCGTCTCCCTAGCAATCGCGTCGCCGCCGAAGACCAGACCGCCGGAAAGGGCTACGATCACGTGCCCCGTGAACTTCCGGGTTCTCAACGTGACTTCCGGTTGTCAGTTTCTCCGGGCCCGGTGGCGGCGGCCGCGGTGGCGGAAGAACAAGAGGAGGAGGAGGGAAAGCCGTGCGGCCCCAGTGGTGGTGGGCTCCTGAGGGCTCGCCTCGCCCTGCCCCGTCTGCGATGCATCCGCGGCGCCCGGACGGGTTCGATGGCTTGGGCTACCGCGGGAGTGCACGGGACGAGCGCGGCTTTGGCGTGGCCTTCCCTGCAAGGTCCTTCAGCTCCGGGCCGGAGCTGGGCCACTGGGTGACCACTCCCCCGGACATCCCCGGGAGCCGCAACCTGCACTGGGGCGAGAAGAGCCCGCCCTACGGCGTGCCCGCCCCCGCCACCCCCGAGGGCCCCGCGGAGGAGCCCGTGCCCGGCGGCGGCGGCGGCGGCGGCAGCGGCGTGCCCGGGCCTAGCACGGGTGAGGGGCGCCGGGGGCCAGGCCCGGGTGTGGGGACCGGCGGGGCGGCGGCCTGCGGACCCCAGACGCCGCGCTCAGGGTCCCGCCTTCGGGGCCTCGGGGTCTGATCGCGTGCCACACCCAGCGCCCTCCCCGTGTCCTCTGCCCTTGAAGTGGGCCTCCTCTCTCTTCCTCACACAACACATGTTTTCTCCGGGGTGACTTCCAAAGAAACAAGACATCTAATTAATTAAGGGGGCGCTGTATTTACTCGATGTGATTAATTGTAGCTTTGTGTTCTGCAGAGGTTTTTTTGTTTTTATTTTTGTTTTTGTTTTTTTCAGTATGGACAGGCTTGGGCTCGAACCTGGCTCTACCTATATTAAAAGCTCAGAAACTATGTCTGTCAACGTCTGTGAGCCCTCCGTTTTCTCATTTTTTAATGTGGATAGAAGAATATCAGGGTTTTTAAGGGTTAAATAAGAATGCACAGTACACTGTGGAGCACCTAGTAGGCTAAAAATGTTTGTCTTCTTCCTTTCCCCCTTTTAATTATAGGAGTTGAGTATTTTCTAAATCCCAAAATACCCCCTGGCATCAAACCCCTTTTTGGTAGAAGAGAAAATGTTTATACTTCCCATTTTCTTCTTTTAAAACTTAATGGTAATATCAAATTGAGCCTCACTCATATTAAATGATTCACTTGAAATACATAAAGTTATAATTTTATTCTTTCTTATTTTTAATGAGCTGACGTAACACTTTCTACTTATGTAAATTATAGATCCTAAATTCAGGTATACCATGGGAACTCTGTAAAGATTTATGGAGTTGAGAAATATAGCCACCTTCTGCTTTTTTTTTTTTTTTTTTCCTAACCCAAAAATTCCACTAACAAGCAAAAATCACTGATACAGTTTCAAGATAAGACTTTAAATTCAAGACATAATTCTTTGCAAAGGATTGTCAGAAGATCTGTCTTTTAATTCCAATACTTGTCATTTAGATATTCTCAACAACTTTTTTTATTCATAAAATGGAAATAATGACACCCTCTTCCCATTCTCCTGAAATTGTTAGAAGAGTAGATTATATTAAATATAAATGTAAGCATATTTATCATTGAATATAAAATGTAAGTATATTTTAAACATCAGTTTTATCCTCATTTCTTCCATTTTAACTTGTAGGTATAATACGATTTATTTGATTGGGGATAGCTAGGAGGAATAGACTTTAAATGCAGTATGATGAGCAAATAATGTGGAGGGGACCAGTGATTTAATGTCATGCAATTAGCGTGTTCACTATGTTTTGTTTTCTTTCTGTCTGTCCCAAGAGGAGTACTGGGAAATTTAAATGAAATAATTCAAAATGCATATGGTATATACTTGCTACATAGTTACATTCTTAGGCAGTAAAGTTTATTTTTTCATAATTTATGCTTTGATGGTTACAATGAAGAGGAGCTCTTAATGTAACTAGGGCTGTTGTTTTTTTTAGCAGCAGTAAGAGGCTGGTGAGTCTACTTTGCAAGGTTGGATAGAAGCCTGAGATCATTATACAGTTAACGATATTAAACCTTCCTAATACCTTCCAGAAAATATGGTATTTTTTATTACTATTAGGGAATGATCAGGACACACAAAAGGGGAAAGAACTGAAAGGAGGAAAATGCCTTCACTTGGGCAAAGAAAAGCTATCTTGCTTGTACGTTTTCCAAAATAAGGGTGAATCAAATAATATACTCAGATACATGTTTGCATGGCCTTGTTCTGACTGTAAGGAAATTGTGCGTTGCTTCATTTAAAAGAGCAGAGATGAGAGAAGGAAAGATGGAGGAAATAGGACGAGAGAGGGGAGAGAGAAAAGAGATTGAGAGCCCTTTATTGCCCGTTTTGATTATTCTTTCAATTTAATCATTTCATGGTGTTTTATTTGTAACTGTTGGTTTGACATAAATGCTCTCTACCACTAACAGTGAATGACTAATTTTACAATATGGGAGGTAAAAGTTGTTGGTATATGTATCAGAGCTTCTACAGAAAAAAATTGTATGTTGCTTCCAGTCAGAAGTTACAAACTGGTAGCCCATAGATTATACCTGCAGATATGTTTGATTTGGCCCACATAGTGTTTTAAAATAGTTACCAATATTTTTTATTGAAAGATAATACATAAAAATAATATATTTTTTAAGAAAAATCACAGCTTAGAAATCAACCCGGAGCCCACAGCCCCACATTGCAACAATGAATTGGAGCTGAAGAGCAGTTGTGCCTTACAGCTTGCCACAAACCCAACAGAGTTCTTCACTCATATGACTTCCCTGGCCCCTATCAGAATTTGACTTGGGGACCTGGAGTTTAAATGAATATCGTGTAAATAAAAGAAAGTATTTTTTGTTATTTTTGCAGTAAATCTAAGTATTGATTATGAGTAATCTTATTTCTTCTATTTTAGAACAGTTGAGTAGATTTGCTGGATTTGGTATTGGACTTGCAAGGTAATGTTTTATCTAAATTTTAATTTTTATTTATAGTTTTTAATGTTATAAATGATTAATAATTTCCCTTTAGATTGATTCTTTGTAGCAATAGATTAAATATTGAGTAATATTTTGTAGAGAAAATTATTTAAAATTTATAAGTTTAATTTTTTCCCTCAGTAAGGATAGAGAATAGCCATTACATTTTATAATCACAAAATAATTTTGTAAGGAATATTGTTAACATCTTCCATATGTATCTTTCTAAAGAATAAATCAATTCTAATCTTGATTCTTATGCTCCACAAAACAAGTAATTTTACATTGAATCTTTTTTAAAAATTGAATCATAACAAGATATTAAGCAACATGGAGTCTAGGTTTCAGTTATAATCAGCATTTAATGAGCATCATTTTTATTTTTTATTTGTAATGATTATTTTGTATTAGAAAAACCTTTAGTCTTGATTAATGTGACCTTTAGTGAATACTGTTTCAAAAATACTGGAATTACACAAAGGCTGACATATGTTAACATAAGTCATTGTTTTAAACATTTTAATCAAGAAAAAATGATCTTAGTAGAATGATTAAACTTGAGGATGTTAATGTCAATAGAAATAAAATTTGTGTAATAACATTTTCCTTGGGCTATAGTTAATTTTTCTTCAGCCTCACCGTTTATACTTTAAAGTCATTATCGTCCTATAAAATAAAAGCCTAATATGTTAAGTGTCTGACCCTTAGTTCAACCATTTGACTAGTTGCTATGATGCACACTGACCACCAGGTGGCAGACATTCTAACCTGTAGGTAAGCTTGCTGCTGTGGTTTGGCGGATCGGGACTGGATAAGAAGGACCAGACACACTCTGGAGCCCTCCCTGGTCCCATCCTGGCCAGCCAACCTCCTGCAGTCTCTCCACAGCTGGCTAGCTGGCCCTGATAAGCCCTAATCAGGACTGAGCAGGAGAGACAGGCTGGACACGCCCTGGAGCCCTCCCATGGTCCTTCCCTGGGTCCAATAATGCACCGGTGGGTCCCTCAGCCTGGCCTGTGGGGATCGGGCAGAAACCGGCTCTCCGACATCCCCTGAGGGGTCCCAGATTGGGAGAGGGTGGTTCTCAGTTGACGCACCCCAGAATCTGGTTCCCTCCTCTCTGGTTCCATATACATCACCTAAGAACTACAGCTGCCAAGTCACCACAGCTGGGCAGCTCCTGCATTGAGCATCTGCTCCTGGTGGCCAGTGCATGTCATAGCTACTGACCAGAGCATCTGCCCCCTGGTGGTCATTAGGCATCATAGCTACCAGTCAGTGGCTTAGGCATATATATATATATATATATATATATATATATATATATATATATATATATATATATATATATTAAAAAGGTAATATGCGAATCGACTGAATGGCGGAAGGACCAGTTGCTATGACACGAACTGATCACCAGGGGGCAGAAGCGCAATGCAGGAGCTGCTCCCTGGTGGTCATTGGGCTCCCACACAGGGAGCGCCACTCAGCCACAAGCCAGCCTGATGGCTAGTAAGTGCAGTGGTGGCGGTGGGAGCCTCTACTCCCTCTGCAGCAGCACTAAGCATGTCTGAGTAATGGCTTAGGTCGGCTCTGGGACATCCCCTGAGGGCTCCCAGGCTGCTAAAGTACTCAAGCTAGGCATGAATATTGTGCAGTGGGCCTCTAGTATAGTGTGTGTGTGTGTGTGTGTGTAGATGTGTGTATACACAAGCAGGCATGTGTTACTGTTAATATTTAAGCTACGGTTGTAATTAGTTGGTGGGGAATATTTTGAGAACTATTTTGTACCTAAAATACTAGTCAGTTACCATGATCACTGAAATCTCTATAACTTCAGTGCAAAGTATAGCAAAAACAAAATTTATAGGATGAGATTCATGAAAAATAGATGGCTCTTCTGATAGGAACTTTGTGCATAGGACATCTGAAATAATTAAAAGGGGCGTTTAAATTTTCTAGGAAAAGAGTTTCCCATATTAATACAGAAATGTCATTTCATCTTTATATTATACATGTTAGTATTATATATTGTTTCCCTTGATTATCTGTTTCCAAATCTGGCTTTAATTCTTTTCATATTGAATTTTGTTACTGGTACAGTGATTTGCAAACATGATATTTTTAAATTGTTTTTTGATTCTTCAAACAAATGATTTTGGAAACGTATGTGTTATAAATTTTAGCTATATTACATATATTTATAAATTATTCTTATATAGTCTCTTTACAGAAAATGTACTGGCTCATCCTTGCATTGTTCTACGCCGCCAATGTCAGGTAAATATACTTTCTATGAAATAATCCCAACCCTGATTTAAAGTACATGTGTCTCCAATGAGAAGGGACTGGACTATGTGCTGCATCCTAATACTTTTAAAAAATTATTTCACCTAAGTATTGGCTCTGACCCTCCTTACTGATTTTATGATTTACTAATTGTTTATAGCTTATAGTTTAAACACCATTGGGAGACACATAACTCCTGTTCCCTGAGATCTTTGTGGTTCCTTAATGCTCTGCCACACTAAATGTAATTTGACTGTTTAAGGAAGCATAAATACCAAACCAAAAGGCCATATTACGTATGCTATATTATTATGTCTATTGTGCATTGATCTTTAGGGTTGTATTTATATAACCATATGTATTTTACTTTTAATAAGTTACTTAAAGCACTTTTAAGAGTAATTTTGCTTTGCTAATGTGTAATTTATGATGACCTTAGAATTGAACTTTTGTTTATAAAGTGACTCCACAGTATTTGTTTCATACCCTTGTTATTTTTTACAAAACAATAATAGGAAATAATTATGAAATATATATATTTTACAGGTTAATTACCATGCTCGGCAGTATCATCTCACTCCATTTACAGTCATCAATATTATGTACAGCTTCAATAAAACTCAGGTGAGAATTATATAGATTTTATTAAAATTATTTATGTGTCATTTTGTCTTAGTAATAATTAAAGCAACAGTAATTTCTTATAATTTAGTTAATAAAAATATCTTAACTCTTGTACTAAAACTAATGTAACATGATAAGGGCATCTTTTTGGTGTTACTGAATAATCAGTGAATTTACACCTTTGCCAAAATTAATTAAATATTAGGGGTATTTAATCAGTATTGGAGATACTCAGTTAATTGGAATGTTCATCTTGGCCTAAACGTAGGCTACCAACAAATATTAAAATAATATTAGAAATTAATTTAGTAGTAGTTTTCCACTAAAATGTCCTTTTAAATAATGTCTCATTGGAAATATCAATAAACATTCAATATTAAGTTTTATTAAGTCCCTTTTTTTTGGTGTTTCTTATTTAGCAATTAATAAAAATAACAATAATTTTTGTTTATTGTAGGGACCAAGGGCCCTTTGGAAAGGAATGGGAAGTACATTTATTGTCCAGGGAGTCACACTTGGAGCAGAAGGAATAATTAGTGAATTCACACCTTTACCAAGGTACCTTTTTGGCATTTTCTCAATATTAATGTCATATTAAAAATGGAACAAAATATGGTAATTTCTAATACCTTGAATTTAAAAATTTGACTTTAAAAACTGAAGTAGCTAAGAGAAGAAACAGAAAATAAATTTAATTGCTATCTTAATTGAATTAGCATGTGATAAAGAAAATGCTTCTTGGTATAGTATTTATTGAAATATATGTCTTTCATTTCCTGCTGCTGTGTGTCAGCAAGCAGTGTTTCCCAAACTTTTGACATATGTGTACCCCTTCTATAATTTTCGTAACGCTGAGTGCCCCTCATACTCATGAGAACGTAGAATTAGGCGCAGCTAAACACGGTGCAGTGCATATCCCCACCAAACTCCCGTGCAACGCGTACCCCCACCAAACTCTTCCCGTACCCCTGGAGGTATGCATACCACACTTTGGGAAACACTGAATTAAGGAATAAACACAAGTATGTGAGCAATTCCTGCTCTTTAAGTCACTAGTTGATGAAGGAGACACATGTAAACAAATTACAGTACATCATTATGTGTGCTGCAATTAAACAAACCCCTTTCAGAGCCCAGGGGACACTTTGCATAGAGTTATTGTTAGCATTTCAAAAAAGAACTGAAATCTGAGCTAAGTCTTGATTTATGGGCAAGAATTGACTTGGCAGAGAAGGAGAGGATTCAGAGTAGAGGTGACAGCATGCCCATTGGAGGTTGGAACATCTGGGTAATAAGTGTCTTATGCTACGAATAGTGGGCATGTATGGAGTGGAATAGAAGGAAAGGGATTAAGATGTTAAACTGAAGCATGTCACTGCCTTTGTAAGAGATTTAGGTTATTCTCTGTGGGATGGAAATTGAAGGTGTTTTTTGTCGTTTCTTTTTGTTAACATGGGTGATTTGATCAAGGATAATATTCAAGTGATGTTGTGAAGGAAAAAAAAAAGACCGGTGTAGACTGAGACTTGTGCAGAACTGTCAGTAATCTAGGCCAGATTGAGAAGGGTTTTAACTCTGGATAGAAAACGATGAGCTGGAGAGACATTCTGAAGAATATTTGATAACTGGTGGTATGTTGGGAATGGGCATATGGGAGAATGAATTGTCATCAGTGACTGAGATTTCTAGTTTAGAATCAAGTTGAAGAATTCATGAAAGAGAATACGTTGGAATTGGGAAAAAATATAAGGAATTTAACCTTCAATAGATGATGTTTGAGATTTCTGCAAGACATCTAGGGGGAACATGTCTTTAAGTAGTTGGAAACATGGGTCAAAGTCTTTGAAAACATTTGAAGCTAAAGCATAGCTTTGAATGTAGTGGTATAAAAGTAGCGGTGAAACATTACAATGGATGAATTTTCGAAGGTATTAATGTAGACTAAGTGACAGAAAGTGGACCAAACACAGAATCCTGAGCAATGTGTGAGTGCACAAGTGTGTGCCATGCCTGAGTGTGTATTAGGAGAGGTAATTGAGGGGAGTAATAGGAGATGATCACAAAACTCATCGAAAATAGCAGCATACTGTAGGACAATAGTGTCATTGAAGCCAAGAGAGGTGAATTGGAATTGTTAGATACATTTGGAGGGAGAGTGTAGAGAAATTGGGTAAACTTATTTCTGCACCTGTTTTCTTCCTGGAACAGGATACAAGGTCATTAGGTGAAAGAAGAATGAGGAAAAGCATGAAAAGAATAAGTAACCTAGGTTCTCAAACTTAATATGTTCCTGAAGGCTGTCAGAAAACTGAATCATGTTTTCCCATAGAAATAATGTAAATCAAATTAATCTGTTCCAGACCCCCAAATGATTCCCTGTTTTAACCTTTCTTATCTATAGTACATATTTAATTACTGTATAATCTATAAGTAAACACTTTAAAAACAAAAAGAACATTAAATGTAAGTGAAAATTTAACAAAAAAGAAATGAAAAATTTCCTACTGATAAGCAGCCACAACAACAAAAAATATTCACAGTACAATTTCCTTAGATGTTAACGTGAGGTTTTTCGGTAAAATTACTTATACTCACGCATTCTCTCCTTCGTCATCTAAGAGATCAGTGACTGATTATATAGGTATCATCATGAAAGGGCTGTTGGTTTGAGAAGTGAATTATTTAAGATGGGAAATATTCAAGAACCAGGTTCAACTATATATGTTTGGGATAGTCACAGCTACTATGTGTAACAGAGGGGGAACCTTACTAGGGATATATGAAAGGAATGTTAATAGGTAATATTGGAAAGCATAAATTTGTGTAAGTGCTATTTGGTAGGAGTCTGTGATTTTCCCCTATCAACACTAGATTCCAGAGACAGCATTAAAGATTGAATGGTTTGCTAATGTAATTGTAGTGATAGAAATGTATTAGCTTTAAAAGGTACTGAGGTGGTTCATCTTAGTACAGTGTAAAAAAAAATTTTTTTTTGAATGGTTTGTTGATCCAAGGGTGGCCCATGGCAGGTAAATTTTTGGGGTTGACAAGGAAGTGAGGTAATTGCACATAGAGCCAACTGACATCTCAATCTTGGGATTCAGTCTTTTATAAGGAAAAAAATGAAAACAGGCAAGACTGGTAGTCGGCTTTTTGCCAGTGTTTGCTTTTAAAGAACTGTATAGTCTTGAAGGTCTTGAAGTTCTTTTAAAACAGCCTTGCTAATTGTTATAACAAAACAAAATATTTAGCCAGCGACAAGTTTCCCATCTACTTTAAAAATCTCAATTTATGATGTTGGCTAACTTTATTCACCCTATTGCTTTTTATATCACAGGATAATATGAAAAGTTAGTTCTTGAAGTTCCAGAAACACAAAAGTTATATAAAAATTTAACAAATTTCAGGAATTTCTGTATGGTAAAATATAAAGAATTCTGCATTTGCAGTCAGACACCATTGGTCTTGCCTACACCACTTTTTAGTTCTGGGAACTTAGGCAAGTAATGCCATTTCTCTAAAGCACAGGTGAAGTAGTAACTTTCACTCCAGGTTGAGGAGAAGGAAAAAAGAAATGGGAAGGCACAGAATTTTATCAATCTCTCTCATTCTGTAGATACACAGACACATCAGATTATGTGGACATTTTGAATCATATTTAGGAAGACATAAGAGGTTACCTTTGTTGTATTTTATCTGGATAATTTTGGTAATACATCCCACTCATTAATTAACATTTATTTAATTATTTTTTTAAAATATATTTTTATTGATTTTACACAGAGAGGAATTGAGAGGGATAGAGAGTTAGAAACATCGATGAGAGAGATACATCGCTGCCTCCTGCTTGGATGTGCCCACAGCCAAGGTACATGTCCTTGACTGGAATCGAACCCGGGACCTTTCAGTCCACAGGCCGATGCTCTATCCACTGAGCCAAACCGGTTTCGGCCATATTTATTTAATTTACTAATATTTTCTGAGCACCTACTATGTTCTAGGAATTGTACTAGAAATCAGATATACAATGAGAAGAGGAAACCAAAGGTATCTTAGGTCTAGTATAAGGGACATACATTAAGTAAAATAATCCCACTAATGAATAACTAAGTACCAATTGAGATTGTTGCGGAAGAAAAAGAATATGGTTCTGTGAGAGTATTAAAGGGTTAGGAAATGTCAATAATAAAATGACATGTGTTTGTGTAGATTATGTATTAAATATGTATATTCGTCTATCAAGTGGAAGGAATACGAGTGCCTGATGGCTGCTGAAAGGACAAACAAGTTGCCAATTAAAAACTGCACTGGACTTAGTATCATGAAGGTCATGGGAATCTTGGCAAGAACTATTTTTGTTGGAATAGTTGGGTAGAAACCAATTTGGAGTACATTTAGAGGTGAGTGGGAAGTTAGGACATGGAAATAGCAAGTTTAGAAAGTTGGCTGCGATGAGAGATGAAAAAAGTAGCTGAAGATGAGAGGTTTGGATTGGGTTGAGGGAAGATTTTTTAAAGAGGGGATCTATTTGAGCATGTGAAATGAGAGACAATGGAAATTAAAGACTGCTTAACTATAGAGTTATTTAGACAGTGGGGAGGAGGGGGACAGGGCAGGCTGGAGAGGATCAACGGGAAGGGAAGAAAACATGTTAATATGTTCAACAATAAAGTATTTAAAAAAAAACAGAAAAACAAAAATTCTATTGTTTTGTGTAGATTATGCATTAAGTAAGACACTATTAAATAGAAAACTTTTGAGAAAAAACAAGTCACTTCTCAATTTTGTTGCTTGTTTGAAGGGTAGTTTTTGCTTGTGAAAACTGATTTAAATGTATTTAACACAGGTTTTGATATTTAATAATGAAACAAAAAGGTTTAATCAAAGTAGGTTTCTACACTATCCTTTTTCCTGAAGCACTTAAATGTGCTAATTTAAATTTCTAGAGCTATGGCAATAAGTTTTACTCATTTTATAAAGGAGTAGAGAATAGATACAAGGAAGAAAATCTTAATTTTTTATAATTCTAAATTTCATTTTTCTCCCTTTTACCTTAATAATCTTACCTTAATAATCTTACCTTAATAATTAGTTTTGTATTCAAAGGGAAGATGGTCCTGTCCTTTCAGAAACATTCCACAGATTCATCATGTTAATAACAGTTTCATGCTTCAAATCAGTGTCATAATGGCCTTGAAAAGAGTAATAGTGCCCAGATGATTGGCAGACCACAAAGCATTTTTTTTTATATAATAACAAAGTCCCTGTCAGTAAGATGAGAGGCCTGATTTTTATTTTTTGTATTTTTCATCTTAATCATTAAATATCATTTCGGCTTTATTTTTCTGTGGTTGTTCAGGCCTATAGTATTCCAGTATTAATCAGAATGTGACCCAGAAGGTTCTCTAGAGTCTTATAAATCAGAGAAGATTATTCTATTGTCTAAAAATTTCTCTGCAGACTTCTCAGTCTCTTAGAAAAAATGTAGGAAAGTTCACATACCACCCGTGCTATAATTGTACTGAGTCTGTTTTTAGAGCACTTACATTATTAGTGATTAATTATCTTTGCCTTTTTAATGTAAAATATATTTATTTCTTTATCTCCTTATGATTCTTATATTCGCTTATTTGAAATAGAAAATGTTTTCCATCAGTTTCCTGCTGTGGCTATTGGGCAGTGAGTGTCAATTTTATCAGGGGAACTGATAGTCGCTAGTCTCCTCTTTATTTTACACCCTCCTTTCTTTGTTATTCTCCCTCTCCCTTCCTCCTCCTTCTGCCCTTCAGTCCCCATTGTCTGACTCTTCATTTACTCTTCCTTTTGCTCTCCATATTCTTTCTCTTTTTTTACTTTTCTCTTGATACAACTTTTTCCTTTTTTGTTCTTCTTTCAGCTTGGCTCTCTTCTTTTTCTTCTTTTTTCTGGTTTCCAAAGATAACCTAAATATCAGGAAACACCCAGTGCTAGATCGTGGTTCTAGATCTGGTGTTTTTTCTGTGTCTTTTGAACATGACCCTTTTTGACTTTTATTTTCTCAGTAAAACATGCAACAACACCTGCTCTGCTGCTCTCACTGGATTCCTTCTTGTATCAGATGAGATGAGAGGGAGCAGAGGCAGAAGCAGACTTCACGTCAGAGACCAGTTTAGAGCCCTTGTTTTACTACTAACGTTATTCTGCATATAGTTACTTCATTTTGTTCATTGTTTTTTATTCCCATTCTTTCATACTTTTTAAAGCTTTATTTCTCCCTGTTATCCTATTCCTTGTTACCTTTTCCCTTTCCCACCCATTCTTTTTTACTCAACCTATCCCTTTTTTAAAAATATATTTTTATTGATATCAGAGCTAAGGGAGGTGGGGGAGAGAATCATTGATTGGCTGCTTCATGCACGCCCCCTACTGGGGACTGAACCTGCAACCCAGGCATGTGCCCCAGAGGGAGCCCTTCAGTACAAAGGCCAGCTCTCTATCCACTGAGCCAAACCAGCCTGGGCTCAACCTATCACTTTTATATCTCCTTTAATTATATCTCTTGTTCATTTTTGTAATGAGTTATAACTTCTCCTCTGTCAGCTGATACAAAAATACCTTGCACATTGTTTTTATTTTCAAACCACTGCATTTGTTTAAAATGTGTCCCAGAAAGGAACATATTTACCATTAGAATCCTACAGATTTTTTTTAAATTAAAATATTATTACCTTTTTGCAAGTTGGACTAATTCATATGTTTTGAGTAACATGGCTTTTGTTTTACTTAAATTTATTTTTATTTTTTAGGGAGGTTTCACATAAATGGAATCCTAAACAAATAGGAGAACACCTTCTGCTGAAATCGTAAGTGAAATTTATATAAAAATTTCTATTAATTTTTATAGCATTAAAACTGAAAAAAATCAAATAACTATACTGAAGGAAATTAGAACAATGAAATATCTAAGGGACTAGAAGTTCCAAGGACAAGTAAGAGGGTTTAGGAATAAAATTTTTGAAATATATATTATCTTTAAAATAAATCTTTTTATTTGAAGGGTGAAATCACAACCTAATTTTTCTTTGTGTTCTTAGGAAATTAGCAGAGGTCCTTTTTAAATACAGTTGCCAAGAAAATTATTATTATTTTATTAAGGAGAGATAACAAATCTATTTGTATGGTGATGAGCAAACTAAAAAACGTAGTCCTGAAGGCACTTAGTGATTTTACAACACTGACCATTTTGGTAGATTAGAGTTTTACTCTTCACTTTTTAATTTTTTTTTGAAGATTGTGAATTGGAAACCCCCCCAGCTTGCTGGCTCCCTTTGTGGGGCATTCTAGCACATTATTACTTAGTGATGTTCCATTCACCTTGAAAACTACTGCTTGCCAGGACCTGGCCCATAGGGTTAGGTAAGTCCCACCTTGATATTATTTTAATAACTATATTTTGCAGGCTTGCAAAGTTGTAATATTACTCTAATATTAGTGGTAGGAAACAACTTTGCAAAGCTGTACAATATTGTTTTTTAATAATAAAAGGGGACTTCACTTACCATTGAAGAGTGGCTTACCTCTGCTGGGTGGGAAATCTGGGAATGGATAATAGCAGAACTTGTTCAGATATCACTGAGAAGGCAAGCAATAGAATGGATCCCACACTCTATATTTTAAGTGTCAGAGTTACAGGCTTCATTACCTATGTGCAGGTAGAGGTCCAAACAATGACTCAAATGAGCCTACATTTCATGCTTTAAAATAAAACCTATGTTCTTTGCAGGCTGTCCCTGTGTTATTATTAATACTTAATGTTTCATTTCTAATTGTTGAATAAAGATCTTCTGTTACAGGTCTCTGAAGTATCTTTAGGCTATTGGTATTAATAGCTGAAAACCTTACAAATACCACTCAGGCTTGTTGATACATTAAAGTAGAATTATGTTGATACATTAAAGTACATATTAAAAGATTTAATATAAGCATCTTATTTCAATAAGCTAATGTTTGTTTTAATTTTACAGCCTAACTTATATAGTGGCAATGCCTTTTTATTCAGCAAGTCTGATTGAAACAGTACAGGTGAGCTATTTTTTTATGGTCATTTTTTACTTAATAATATTTTGGAATATTAAATGTATTATTTATGCCTGATTGTATACAGAGAAATTTAAAACAGTATCCTTTTAAACTTTTATTTTGCAAATACACACATATTAAAGATTATATACTTGTGCTTTGTTGATAAGTATATTTTTTTTACAAACCTACTTCACACTTTTAGTTTTATTTTATCCCTTCTGAGACAGCTGTGTAATCTTTATTCAGATATCTCAGAATTCAGCCTTTGACTTGCTTTGAATACAAAAAATCCAAAGGGTTGTGTGTATGTTTTTTTTTTTAAATTTGAGACACAACTCGGAATGATTATGGCTTATCAGAGGTCAATAAATTAAGCATGAAACATGGTAATCATCCTAACAATGATAAGGTAGTCTGCATAGTTTACTAACAGCACTCTTATTAAATAGGCCTTTTAAGGAACATATGATACTATGGTGTGTAAGTGCTACAAAGCTAAAGCAATCTCCTGCTAGTTTTTAAATTGTTTTATTATTTCTGACCACAGGGTGGCACTCAAGTACATCAAATCCATAGATTTTTTTTTTTTTTTCACCATTGGATTTTTACATTTTAAACTGTCAGATGAAGATAATTTAACTTCACCAAAATCCAACTAATTGTGCATCACCTATCTGCCATCCCCATCATCACATCCTCTAGCATATTATTTGTCTTCAATATGTATGAATATATTCTCTATGAAAACCTCAATGGATCAACTTTTTCTCTTCAAATTACCTTTTCCACATAATTGCTTTTTAGGCCCCATCGTTGATTATTTATTTATTTACTTATTTATTTACTTATTTATTTACTTATTTACTTACTTACTTATTAGAATTGACTTAGTGAACAGAAGTTAACATCTTGCTACTCAGATACACTTTTCTCTGCTTTTGCACTTGGCATTGCATTAAGTAATTGGTATCACCTTTGGGACTGCAGCTTACACTTACTACTCTATGAGATATTCTCATAGATGAGGAAAAAAATAGCAGGCAGCTGACTGTTTAAGAAAAAACAAGCAGCATGATATATAGTGGCGAAAACAAGCTTATCAGAATCACATGTCTGTTTAGATCTGTGACTTTAAACAAAAATCTTAACTTTCTCACTCATAAAACGGAAACAGTAATTTAATAACTGGGTTGTGTCGAGACCGGTCTGGCTCAGTGGATAGAGCGTTGGCCTGCGGACTGAAAGGTCCCAGGTTCAATTCCAGTCAAGGGCATGTACCTTGGTTGCAGGCACATCCCCAGTAGGGGTTGTGCAAGAGGCAGCTGATCGATGATTCTCTCTCATTGATGTTTCTAACTCTCTATCCCTCTCTCTTCCTCTCTGTAAAAAACAGGCATTCCCAGTAGGGGTGTGCAAGAGGCAGCTGATCGATGATTCTTTCTCATCGATGTTTCTAACTCTCTATCCCTCTCTCTTCCTCTCTGTAAAAAATCAATAAAATATATTTTTAAATAAATAAATAAATAAATAAATAAATAAATAAATAAATAAATAACTGGTGGGTTGTAAAAATTGAGTTATTTATATAAAGTGCCCAGCTCAATATATTTGCTTATTAACTCAGTATCTACCCCTCTTTTTTCTGCTCCAAGTTCTACCTGCTAATTGCCTCGTCTTGATTTCTTTTGTCTGACTTTCTACAAGTTTTTTTATGTCTCCTTAAGTTTCTCCTCTTTAACTTCTTTGCCATCTGTTCTACCATACTCTTCAGACATAGTCCTTGACCCTGTCTGCTTTTATCCTGTATTCACCATCCTGGAGTACTCACTCTCATGAATCATTTTGACTCAAATCTTTAATAAGTGAATTAAATTATTATCATCTCATAAAGACAATCTTGTCTTATTCCTCTGAAAATTATCTTTTTTCAAGCATCTCCTTTCTTCTTGATGTACTATTGCTGTCTTCACCCTAGAGACTTAAAACTTTAGTTCTTATTTTTAGAAATGTCTTGATTTTTATATTTCTTTCATCCTTCATCACCAAGCAGTCATTATGCCTTCTTAATTCTAACTCCAAAAAGTAACTGAGGTTTGTCTGTTTCTCTCCACTGAAAGGCAACCATTCTCATTCCTTCTTTATCACATTCTTGGTTTATTATATTAGTTTCTTTCTTCCTATTTCACGTCCAGTAGGTTTTTACCCTCCTGGGAGCTCGTTGAGAACATTCTTCCCTTGAAAAATACACATTTATACATAGATCTCCAGAAGACCTCCTTAATTATGAACTTCTAGTGAGCTATTGTCTTCATTAACAATCCCTGTTCTAGTCACTGCATTCCACATCAGTGTAAGATTAATGTTCTTCACTTTCAGTTCTTTCATATTTTTGCTGATTAAAGATCCACACTGACTCAAACTTCCTAAAATTAATTTCAGATTTTTCAGTATAGTATTCACTTAAGGTTTTTATTAACCTCACTTTATCTTTTCAGTTAATCTTCCTTAATTGCTCTTTTTATTTTATTTTTTTTCTTTTTAAAAAAATATATATATCATTAAATATTTATTGAGTGTCAACCTGTGGGAACCCCTTTTATCAAAAAAAGCCTTATTGAGAAGGTAACATTTGAGTAAAGATCTGAGCTCATGAACTATATAGATATTTTGGAGAAGAACAGTCTAAGCAAAAGGAAAGCAAGTGCAAATGTGGGATTGTATTTCATGTGTTTGAGGAGCAAAAAGGAGGTCAGTATAGTTGAAGCTCGCTAAGCAAGGAGAGATGAGTTTTGAGAGGTAAGAGGATGATAAATCATAAAGGACATTTTAGGTCATTGTAATAATCTAGCCTTGTCTTTGAGGGGCATGGAAAGCTTGGGTATAATTGAACCAAAGAGTGATTCTGGCATGTCTTTATTAAGATCTCTTTCGCTGCTGTTTTAAAAATAGACTAGAGTGGGAAAGGACCAGAGATAGGTAAATGGACTAGGTGAGCTGATTTTAGTCTGTGGTTTTAAATGTATTATATTTACTGAAAACACAATTATATGTCCAGGTTGGAGCTTTTTCTTACTATCTAAGTTGTAAACTCCCAAATTTATCCTTTAAACTTAACATTTCTGAACTCTTGATTTCTCCCCAAATGCTACCCCATTCATATTTCCCAACTCAATAAGAGGCATTGCTATTCCACTTCCTCTGGCCAACATCTTGAGGTTATCCTTGACTTCTCTCCTTCAAACCCAAATACAATCCACCAGTAATTCTTATTGGCTGTAATTTTGGGGGGAAAAACATAACTAACGCTCTTTCCTCCCATTACTACCTGGTTGTCTGTCAAGTCTTTTCTGGATTATGTAATAACTTTTTAACTGTTTCTCAGCTTGTTCTCTGCACAGTAGCCTAGCCAGTGTTAACCTAAATTATGTTTTGTCCATCTTCTGCTTAAAACCAGCTACCTTTGACTAAAAGACAAAGTCTGCTCAGTGGCATGTTATGGCCCCTGACTACATTATAACTTCATTTTATACTTTTTCTTCTTTAGTCATTACTGTAGCCAAATTGGCTTCTTGCTGTTCCTTTTCTGCCTGTCCATGATTCTGACCTGTATCACAAACTTTGTTATACATATCCTCAAAATTATAGATAGGCAGAGACATTGCAGATGATAATGACTAAGGCCTGTCTATCAGGCCTTTTTTCACTTAATACTCCTAGCAACTCTATGGGTTAGAGGTAGATGGTATTAATTCCCCTTTTAGAGAATGGTAAACTGACTTAGGAGAAGTTAAATAACTTGCCAATGGTCACATGACCAGTAAATAATGGAGGCAGGGTTGAAACCCATTTGTAAGAAGTCTAAGCACTATAATACCTCTTTTGTGTCATGGAGTTAATGCTTTTCAAAATTATTTCTAAGAGCTTCTTGAGGCCAGGGAAACCAGGTGTGTCTCCATCCACATCTCCTACTCTTTTCCTTTTCCAATAAAAGTAGCTCCCACTTCACTGCTATCTGTTTTTATGAAATTTCATTTGAAAAAAAGAATCTAACACCTAGGTAAATTTGAAGTCTGTAAACTATTGGTGTTTTTCCCTTTTTGGTCAGCAAATTAGTATTTAAAAGGAACCTAAAAGTTCTTTGGGGGAGGCAAAATAAGCAAATATTAACTTCTACTCATTTCATCATTTTTATTTTAGAGTGAGATAATTCGAGATAATACTGGGATTTTGGAATGTGTTAAAGAAGGCATTGGAAGAGTGATAGGCCTGGGAGTGCCTCATAGCAAACGACTGCTTCCTCTTCTCTCCTTGATCTTCCCCACAGTGCTGCATGGGGTTCTTCATTACATCATCAGCTCCATCATTCAGAAGATCGTCCTACTAATTATAAAGAGAAAGACTTATGGCCACCCAGCTGACAGCACTAGCCCAGTGCAGAGTATGCTAGATGCTTATTTTCCAGAACTAATTGCTAACTTTGCTGCCAGTCTTTGCTCTGATGTTATACTTTATCCTTTGGAAACAGTTTTGCACCGCCTTCACATTCAAGGAACACGCACAATAATTGACAATACAGACCTTGGCTATGAAGTGCTTCCAATTAATACACAGTATGAGGGAATGAGAGACTGTATCAATACCATAAAGCAGGAGGAAGGAATGCTTGGTTTTTATAAGGGGTTTGGTGCTGTTATAATACAGTACACACTGCATGCAGCTGTCTTACAGATAACTAAAATCATTTACTCTACGCTTCTTCAAAATAGCGTTTGAGATATAAGTTCCCAATTAGTCTAAAAGGCACAATCTGGACACTTTGCTATGAAATGGTGAGGGATAAAAGTGAATACGGGGGGTGGGGGGGTGGATTAGAAGTGAAACTAGTAGAGAAAGCCCATGCTCATTATATTGACTTTTTTTTTTCCCTTAAGGCATAAGTCTCTTTGGAATCAAAAATATTCCAAATTTGAAAACTCAATAAAAATAATATTCATCAATTAAATTCTAGCTAGTGTAGCACGCATACAGAACTAAAAATGATGTTGGGCAGAAGCAAAAATTTATCATCAAATACAAAGCAAAACTTTACAGAGCTGAATTTATTCTATCTAACTTTAATATTTATTACATGTTTATTTTACCTTCTTGGTTGATATTAGTGTCATCCTTAATGTGTGGTATCAAGAGGTCATAGCTTACCTTCAAGCAATAAATGTGTAACAGTGATAATGATGAGAAGGATTAGATTTGGCAATCTGTAATCAGGAGTTGAAGTTTTAAATTGTATTATCCCTATTTAACGTTTTAATGGCTGCATATTATATAAAGCCATTTTTGTTCACATACAAAATTTGGAATTTCCTTCCTTTCAACAAATTTTCCACCCTTAGATCAGCTTATTGCATAAGATGAAGTCACACACTTTCTGTTTAAATATCAAAATAGAATATTAAAAGCCAAGGTATCCAAAGATTTAAGGCAAACAGCATACTTGTCTATATCCAAATGCAGCATTTTGGTACCAGCAATTTGATGTTCGTCATATGTTTATAAAGCTTGATTTGCTTACCTAGTTATGTGAATCATCAGGCTGTTTTTAGAGCCACTCTTAACAGAGATAGAAAATAAAATAATCATGACAACTATTACTGTTTCTAAATTTAGAAATTGTGTGCTGAAAGGAATATCACTTGTCTTTCATTTCTGAATGAGTGTCTTAGTGGAGATGTGATTAAAATTCACCTGGGAATTTGTGCCTCTTGCCTTCTGTATAGTTATCATAAATTAATGTCTTCAGTTTTTATTCCAGGTTTGTTTATAATTTCATAATCCAAATATCTTTAATGCCTTTAATTTAAACTTCTTTGGATGAATACTGAAGAAAAAATATAAACTTTAAAGAAAGTTTGTCCTCACTTTTTATGGATGAGGTAAAGAGGTAAATTTTAATATAATAAGCAAAAAATTTTTATGTTCCTAAACGGATGAAGTTCTTTGTATAGTAAAATGATATGCGTTTGACTGATCCATCATTTAACATTTTAAAGTTTCATTCCCTCCTGTAAGTGTTCACAGTTTTACTATGAGCCATGTAGTACACTGAAGTGCAATGACTTTGCACTTACATTTTCAAACCAGATTTATAAATAGATTTATTTTAGTTGCTAAATATCAGAGAAGTGGTTACTTGATGTGATTAATAATGTTGGGATAAGAAAATGATATCCAAGAAGTGTGAAACAGTATTTAAGTAGCAACTCTGTCTACTATCCTGTGTTATATGTTTGTGGGTGGTTTTTCCCCCTCAATTACTAAAACATACAAGTTTTACGTTTTTAAATTTCACCAAGAGAGGAAAAATAAAATTAAACACCACTAATCAGATATTGTATTTTATGGTTACTCTTTCAGATTATGGTTTATTTTGTCCAATGTATGGCATTTAAATTGTATTCATTGCTTTTAAACTACTAAGTAAGTTGTTAGATATTTATATGTCAAACTTCCTAAAAATCCTTTCATTTTTATTATAATCAATGAAGATGGTTTTAGGCAAGAGTTAACTTCTGAAAATTGCAAGTTTCAGAAAGTTTCTGGAAGATAATCTGAATGGAATCAAGTATTTACTAGTGGAAATAAATGGGATCGTTTACCTCGTTAAAAATTAGGTATTTCAAAATTATTTGATGGAAGTTAGCATGCAGATTCAGTTAGATAATTGTTTCATTATGAAATCATTACCAGACTAATAGCTTGAACTATGCACAAGTAAGGTTAGTCTTATTTTCTGTCTCTTTGGAAAAAGTAATCAAATTAACATCAAAACAAAATGAAGTTGGCCAAAAAAATTGAATGTAGCAAGTTAAAATACTAATTTTTTTAACTCTTCACCTGATGATATGTTTTTATTGATTTTAGAGGGAGAGGAAAGAGGAGAGAGATGAAAGAGAAACATTGATCTGATCAAACTCGCAACTTGGGTATGTGCCCTGGCCCTATTGGTGTACTGGACAACACTAGCCAACTGAACCACTCAGCTAATGCAAAATACTAATATTTTTTATTCACATTCCAAATTAATTGAAATATAAAAATCTTCAAAATTCAAGCACTTAAATGCTGGCCAAATATGTATAACTGAATTTAGAGAGGAATAAATGAAATAAACATTGGACATGCTCTTTCCCTTTTTTAAAAGAGCTCTATTTCTTTAGTATATAGGTGCCAAAAGCAGATATCCATGCACTACATTTTTTGGGTGATAATAACTCAATAATATTTGCAATACAGTATGATTAATAGTATGAATGAGAATCCATAGGCCCAATGGTCACTTCACATAATCGATTTTGGCCATGGAGATGAAATGTGATATGCTTGCCTTACATTGTATGAGTTCTTAATTTGAGTCAGATAGCTAGAAAGCGATTGAATTAAAAACTGAAACACATGATAAATATTAACTTATTTTTTTTTAGTGAATTTGTTCATTGATTTCCTAAATCTGTTTATAAATTTCTTTACCATATGGACCCTTTCTATGGACCCTTTAAAATAATTCCTAAGTTTATCAAATTTAATCAAGCCTCTAAATTTTCAGCACTAGATGCTATGAGATAGTTAAAAACCAGCCAATTTCAAAATGGCTCTGGATTGGGGGATGTGATGTCTTAGTTACTATTTCCACAAACAAAACTGGAGAGGTAAGAAGTCTCACTCATGTACCTGACTACTCACAGCTGTCTTTTTAGTACTGGCTTTATTATAACTGCACAAAATACTCATTTTACCTGTTGGGCACAAATGCTTCAACATTTCTCAGTGTGTTCATAGATCTGCTCAGAAAATAAAATATTCTGCTTTAATACTGGTCTTTTTCACATGTGATTCTGAAGGATGTTTGCCCTCAGTTTGCTTACTCCCATGTTTTATCATAAAGGACTACTTTTCCAGCTCTTGAAAAGATAGGCAGGTTTGAATTAGGTCCCTCCCCCCACAATAATATAAGCAAATAAAATCCCCTTAGTAACACTTCACATTGCACTAGAATTTCAGTGATCTTAACTTTGGCATTTCTGCTTTCTCTTCTAAGTAGGTGTACATTTTGCTTGCTAATGGCTTTCTTTTGAGTCATTGAGAATCACTGACATGTTACCAAGTTGGATAGCAGAGTAGCAAAAAATTGGGATTTGACAATGACTCATATAATATTACCTCAACTATAATAGAAGAGGTGTTTTGTTTGTATGTGTATTTCTGTGTGTCTTTTAAAGTTGTTTTTATCTCACTGACGTTTTAAATGTTTTCAGTAAGTTGTGTAACATGAAAAGATTCAATAAAATGTTGAAATAAAATTAGAATTTTTCTATTACTGATGCTGGAGAACTATGCAGGCTGGTGATAGAGGGGTTCAGAATATGTCACCCCAAAACGTGGGGTTGGCATTTGTTTGAAAGGTACTTGAGAAACAGTGGTGCAAAAAGGACACTGCCCCTCCTTTGCCCCTCTTAAAGTGCATGATAAAGTTACCCTGCCTGCCGAAACCGGTTTGGCTCACTGGATAGAGCATCGGCTTGGGAACTGAAAGGTCCTGGGTTCGATTCCGGTCAAGGGCATGTACCTTGGTTGCGGGTATATCCCCAGTAGGGGATGTGCAAGAGGCAGCTGATCAATGACTCTCTCTCATCGATGTTTCTAACTCTCTCTCTCCCTTCCTCTCTGTACAAAATCAATAAAATATATTTAAAAAAAAAAAAAAGTTACCCTGCCTGTACCAGAGAGAGACATGGAGTTGAGGGCTCTGTAAATAAACCTTGTTAATTCCTCGCCATTTATTTCCCTTAGCACAAACCCCTCTGCCTTGTCAATTCTTCACAAGTGGATTGTTTCATTGTCTAAAAGATAATAAAATTTTCTGCTCTGATCACTTCTTTGCATCATGTTTTATAGGGCTTCTGTATATACAAACTTAAGTTTTTCTCCTGTTAATTTGTCTTATGTCAATTAAGTTATTAGACCAGCCAAAGAAGGAGAGAAGGAAAATTTTTCTACACTATAGTGATAAAAGTTCCTTTTTTTAAAGAAATGAAGACCAAGAAAAAAATATATATATGTAAAATTAAACTTTTTTGCCCAACATTTAAAAAATCCTTAGTGATGTTTTATGAATTGGACTCCAAAGGCTAGGGAAAACAATAAACAAATATGGGACTACATCAAATAAAATGACCAACAAAACAAAAAGATGTTAGAAGACATTTGCAAATGATATTTAAAAAGGGTTAATATCCAAAATATATAAAGAATTCCTACAAGACTACAACAACAACAAATGATTTAAAAAATAGACAAAGAACCTGAATAGACATTTTTCTAAGGAAGACATATAGATGGCCAGCAGGCAAATGAAAAGATTTTCAACATCACTGATTATTAGAGAAATACAAATCAAAACCACAGTGAGAAATCACCTCACACTTACCAAAAAGACAAGTGTTGGAGAGAATGGAGAAAATGAGCCCTTGTACACTGTTGGTGGGATTGTGCCTTGGTACAACCATGTGGAAAACAGTATGGAGGATCCTCAAAAAGTAAAGAATAGAACTACCATATCACCCAGCAATTCCTCTTCTGGGTATTTATCTGAAAAATATGAAAATATTAACTTGAAAAGATATATGCACCCCTATGTTCATTGCAGCATTATAACTGGAGGCCCTGTACACAAAATTTGTGCATGGGAGAGGCGGTCCCTCAGCCCAGCCTGCAGCCTC